TACCAATATGACCAAGTTGCGAAAACAAGGTCAAACAACTTCTATACAACGGAAGGAGACTGCGACCACAGAAAAAGGCCACACTATCTTGGTCTTCATACTTTGTGGACTTTGTTTGGATAGCTTAGCTCGATGCATGCTTTTTCGTCTAACGAAGTAATCTTTAAAAAATATGAGCTAGTACACTGACATAAATGTATAACTTTATAAGCTCTGGGTGATGAAACCATACCATATCTAGTGTGTCCATATCATCCTCATGTAACCCAAAGGAGCATAATATTCCTACAGAAGTAAGCTACATAAAATTAGCTGCTTATGATTTTCAACTTCATTTCATAAGCATTCTTTTCTGAAAGTATTGTTCTAAAATTTAACCTGTTCTTTTCACTCTCAAAAACCATTTCGATGCTCTATTTAAAAAACTTGAATGTTTAATAAAGCTTAAGATAATTTTGAAGTCTACTCAGCATTCTTTTATCTCGAAAGGCTAGTAATATTAAGAAATAATAAACAATATACAAAAATTACTTAAATCTGATAATTATTTGGTATTTACTACGTCAATGAAAAATTTATACTTTACTCGAAAGGAACTCTGACTTTCTGAATAATCGTCTTTCAATAGTATCATTTCCAGTAGAATCTGATTGTATTTAGGATTCAGCCTACCGTAGGCTAAATTATCGTTTGAATCTATTTATAAGTCACCCACATTAGGCTAATATGGTTAGTATATGAGATATATTCACTCTATTGCATCTGAGCTGATGAAGTAGTAGAATTTTCCCACAATGATATGAGTAGAGCTGAAATTTCCATTGGATTTTACATAGCCTTGCTTTCCCAAAAGTTGTTGTCATCCGGGGTGGACTGCAATTTTGACCTCACCAATGTCTTAGTAACACCCCCAGAGGGAGTCGAACCGTGACAGTGCAGCATATGAGCTTGACACGTTAACCACTTAGCCACATTGCCACAGATGGCATTGGGTCTATTTATGTCAACGACTGGTAGTCTCGAAACTTTACTTATATACGAAAAATATAGTTAGTATGCTGCAACATGTCCAATCAGCACTTTTATTAAGAGGGTTTCAGCAATAGATATGAAGACAAACTTGGAGTTGCGTTCGTTTTGGTCGCAGTCTTCTATAGCTATATAGTGTTGATTTGAACTCGTTTTCGCAACTTAATCGGAGCGACAATGAGACCTTGTGGAAGGTACCTCGATTTTTGTCCTTTGCCATAGTCTTCGTGATTTCCAGTATTGGAACATTGCCTGGGTACATTCACAAACATTTAGCCAACATCATAGTTGGCATCGTCAGGGAGAGGCGCCATCGTTTTCACTTATCAGTGACAAGAGAAAGCAATCCTCTTGACAAATTTTATGTTTAATTGTTATAGCATCACTACTCGCCCCTATTTTTGTACTAGTCTATTGATCCATCCCTTTTTCTCGGCTCCACTTTATATCTTCCATTTTCCTATTCACACCATTTTGTGCTCTCGTTTCCTCAGATTTCGCACAATAATGTGTTGCTACAAGTGAATTTTAATGAAGCGTAATCACCTTAACCACCTGTTTCCGATGTTGTTTGAAGGGATACTGGGTCATGGCTTCTATCTTTCACTCAGCTACTTTTCCAACCGTCTAGTCAATTAGTACCCTCTATAAATGAAAGTCGCTGTCTGGCTGCCTATGAGTCTTCAATTTCCGTCCCCGTTTACGTTATATTCGAGGATTTAAAGGCGATGCTTCCCCTACTTAGGCACCTTCCTATTCCCAGAAATCAGAAGCAATGAGTCATAGGCTTCTTATGACCATACTCCGTAGTATTACTATCTTTATTCCACAAGTATGGCTACACTCGAATTTAAGGATTATTCCTGCATGCGATTTCCATTGGGACCTTCGTTTCTTAAGTGAGCAAATGATCGTTACATCCAAGAAAGGTAAGTGTCAGGAAATCGTATAATTTTCCTTTTCAATACGACCAGAGTTCAAAGTACTCAATTTTTGCATAATTACTGTTGGCTGCTGAAGTGACATTTTCAAATTCTTTTCCACTTGCCTATGCAGATATTAGCCATCAGAGAGTAGAGTGGTAAGTCCATATATAAACCAAATATTTGCTAATAGATGCAGTTGTTTAACTTTAAAAAGGTAGTTAATATTGTTAGGTTGATTAATCGGGTTAGACACTCTTTTAGGTTTCGCTCCGTCTCCAGGATGTCGTCTTCTTTTGCAAGCTCTCCATTAGCGTCGCGAGTGTTTTTTCTCCTGAAATTTTAGTCTACATGGGCTGTACATCAGAAGTCACCAAGAGTTCTTTTCTCTGCATACTGATGCCTTTGATTCATTAGCAAAATTCGTATGAATTCTTGACTCTTTTAGATAATCTCTCATTCAACTTCTTTAACTTTAGGCAGATAAATTTCTCCAGCCATGCGTTGCTTCTTGTTTGATGTTCCTTATCAGTCTAAATGGGTTTTTTCTTTGTGTACTTTCGGCAAACCGTATGCTACTGAGGTTCTTGCATCCTTTTTAGGAGTTACTTCATTGTCCATTTGTAGATTTCCTCGATCGTATTCATTTCCTTGGACATTTCTTGCAGTGCCATTTTGAATGCAAATGTTCGATCATAGAGGGGCTCTGATTCCTTTTTTTAAAATTGGTCCTTTCGTCAGGGCGGCCCAGTTGGACCCACCTTGTACGAAGTCCTCTCCTATAGTAGTTATGGTACGCCCAACGTCGGCTTTGAACTTGGCACATTCCCAGACGTTTCGCTGGCATCGTCAGTAAGCCTTACCAGTCTTAGCACCAAGCTAGAACTCATCAAAGAGACAAAAGAAATCAATCCCTCTACCAACTTTCTGCCGAACGGTTGTGTTATCCCTCCTGTCCTGGTATTTCTACCCACGCCCTTTCATCGTATATCAATATCTCCCTATAACAACTTCCGATTTGTTTCTATCCGACTCCTCGAGAGGTGTGCTCTTTCTGGAGACTTTATTAGTGCGTTATCACATCTGCTTGTCTATTTTCCCGCCGATTTTCCGCTTGATTTGCAGGAATTGTTGATCTGAATTGGACCTGATGAGTAAAAGCTCAGCCCGTTTTCACCCGAAACGAGGGAGGAGATCTCATGAACTACATCAACCCTAAGGTTGTATAAAAGCCAAACGGCTGAAGTACAACAAAATTCATCCGTCCTCTTCTGGTGAGGTCAACCTACGAATCTCTTCTTCATGTACTCTCATACGAAATGAAAGTCCCCCCAACAATCTAATATCTAATTCACCTTCACGGTCCTTGAGAACCATTGCTTAACTTACTGGTGGACTAATTTACCTCGGTTCTAATCGCAGTATAGGTTTTCTTCCAGGCGCTATTTCCAAGGTCTGCCACAAGCCTTTGTCAGCGCGTACACTCTGGTCCCGCTAAGTTGATCGCCCATGTTTTTATGCCCAAGCTTGCAGATATCAAGCCATGCCTATGATTCAACCCAGGTACCCTGAGAAAAATTTGAAAGTTTCACTAGTCTCCTGCAGCATCTCAAATGGATTTCTAGTAATTAAGGCTTCGATATGCTAGCCATATTTACAAAATCCTATGAAGGCTGTGACTACCGTCTCTCTGTTCCTGCAATTATCAGGCCTCAAAAGTTGTAGTTGCTTCTTCTAGCAGACTACACCTACTGAAATTTTCTTCTCTTGATTTCCACATGCTCCTCACCCACTTTTTTCTTTGCTATCCATTTGCCTCTGGCTTATAATATATCCTTGATCCAGGTGTCTCCTTTTTTCTCCAAGTTTGCCTAAACAATAGGCAAAATTATCGTTAACTCTACCTTCTTTCAATTTCCTGTTCATTACATTTCTTCCCGAAAAGATGTCAATGTCTTCAATAATTTTCAGTTTCCTTGTATTTTCACCTAATGACGCTCTTCCTTATGTTGACTTTCAACTTATCTTGTGTCCTGTCTGCGCAATGTGTTCCCCTATTTC